CAAGTAGCTACAAGGCAAATCTCCCGAAGCTCTTAAGTATAATTAGTAAAAGAAGGTTATCAAAACGTACGTGCTCTTGCAGTATTTTTTTGACTGCAGGCCATATTCCTTTTAGATAATTCTCACGGTACCTGGGAAAAAGTGTGGAGAAGGATGATACAGCAAAGAGCCTTCCGAAGGGATTATCCTGGGAAGTAAACTTTGGCTCTTTCCATCCTTCAGGTACCTCACATTTGTGACAATCATTGTCACTTGAAATAAGATCAACTAACAAAATAAAATAATAAAAAGTACGTTTTCTTGAAAAAGCTTCGTAGGGTAGCCAGCCCCTAACTTCAGGAAATTTGAGGTGTTGTCGATTCGTTTTCTTAACCATGACAAAATTACAAACCAGGAAAATCAAATCTTATTAGCAAAAGAAAATGCGTCAATGAATGTAGATTATTTCGTCTCATACACAATATTCGTGATGCAGTTAAAGGAGACGCAAGATATGAGTAGGTGGAATGTAAAAAAGTACAGATTCAAACAAATCAAAAGAAGGGTATATGTAATAAGTAATGAAAAAGGATAGGGCTTTAGGCCATTAAGTAATTATTATTAATAAATTTTTTCAGCAATTTAACATAATTTAAACTATTTATTCACTTATATCTTTGACGAGTTTGTAATATGGAGCTACGAAAGGCGAGACTCAGTGACGATGCCGACTACGATGCCAGAAACGTCTGGGAATGACCAAATAGTTCTTTAACCGGATATGGGAGATGCGACGGTGATAATGAAAAGGCAACAGTACGCTGAGAAAATGTAAAATATTCAAGGCGACCGGAACACCTATCAAATATTGTTAGAGGGACCTTCATTTAGTATGAAAGTGCATGAAGAAGAGATTCGTTGGTCGATCTCACCAGATCGACCAGATCGGAAATGTGCTGAGCTTTCGTCCATCATATGATGGACGTCATCAGAGCTGGGTGTCATTCTTGTAAATGTCAAATGTTAACACTAGGCCAAGAAGACTATCCGGCTTTTTTTAACCTTTTATATAGACTAAGCTGAGCCAAAAGAAATTAAAAATTAAAAACCCAGTTGGATATAGAGTGGTTTAGCTAATTATCTTTCATACTTGTCCTGCTACTTTTGCTCGAGTATATGCATGTGTGTTAGCGTCTATACGCAATACCGGTCCTAAATCAGAGTTATCAAAAGGTTAAAGTTAGTCTCTGATTATCAACGCCTACTGACCTCAAAGAAAGCCCTGACCAAGACTGCGTAAGTCCGTAAGCAAGTATGATTGAGATAATGTGATATGAGCTTGTAAGCATGTAAGTCA